ATTAATTTACGTTTATTACGTTTATTTGCGATATTTGGTTTTTGTTTTTTGGTTATTTGGCATTTAATATTGATTTGCACCATAAGATATATGATGATATTATTAAAAAAAAAAACATATCGCTGATGTAAACCACCGACGCTTCAGGAAGTCTGAAATATGTCAACATGTTCATTATCATCCCAACCATTATATCAGATCTGATAGACCATAATTCCTCGCAAAACAACCGGGATTCCTACCAAGAATGATTTTAGAGGCTATTGAAATTTAAAAAAAAATCTAATTTCAATAGAGAACATGTCTGTGTGCTGCCATCTGCTTTGGGATACCATAATTACTAAAATTAAATTTACAGCCAGGCCTACTACTGCAAGATTTAATTAATATATCTAAATCTAAATATAATTATAATATAACTATAGTTATATATAATATAACTATATTATAATTATAGTTAGATTTAGATAAATAAGTTTATTATATAATATTAAATCTAATATAACTATATTTATTTATAGTTAACGAATATTTAATTTTCTTCGTTAACTATAATATCAGGACGGGTCAATGATGAGGCAGGGTGGTTCCAGGAGGCCAAGTCCGAGATATGTGACGTGGCAGTGCCCCGCGTCCGGCCAGGAAGCGCCCGGCGTCAGGTGTATTGGTGGTCGCGTGAGCTGACGTCTCTGCGCGAGGCGTGTGTCGCCGCGCGGCACCTGTACGCCAGGCATCGCAGGCTCCGCATTCGTCCACCGAATGCGGCAGCCATTGAGGCGGAGCTATACGTGAGATACAGAGCGGTGAAGACCGCCCTCCGGGAGGCTGTCCTGCGGGCCCGAGATCGGGCCCGTGAGGAGATGCTGGAGACTCTCGACAGAGATCCGTGGGGGGCGCCCTTACAAGATGGTGCGGGATAAACTCCGCACCTGGGCCCCCCCGCTGACGCAAAGTCTCCGGCCCCAGCTCGTGGAGGACGTGGTGAGCGCTCTGTTCCCTGCGCGAGGGGAACATCCGCCCCCGCCTATGGCTCCGCCACCTGCGGTGCCGGAAGCAGACCACCAGGACGACGACGACGACATCCCGGAAGGGACCGGGGTAGACCTGAGAGTGGCGGTACGTAGGCTCAAGGCCAGGAATACCGCCCCAGGACCCGATGGCTTGCCTGGCAAAGCCTGGGTTCTGGCCTCGGAGGCTCTCGGGCCCCGACTGGAGGGGCTCCTAAGCGCATGCTTGAAGAGAGGCCAATTCCCGCTTCGTTGGAAGACGGGGAAGCTGGTCCTCATTCGGAAGCCGGGGCGCCCTGCGGACTCTCCGTCCGCATACCGGCCCGTGGTGCTGCTCGACGAGGTGGGCAAGCTCTTTGAAAGAGTCATTGCAAACCGCCTCGCCGAACACCTTGCGGGGACGGGGCCGGATCTTGCGGAACACCAGTTTGGTTTCCGCAAGAGGCGCTCTACGGTGGACGCCATCATGCGCGTGAGAGCCACGACGGGGGATGCAGTGGCCAGAGGGGGGTTGTCTTGGCGGTGTCTCTCGACATCGCCAACGCCTTCAACTCCATGCCCTGGAGCTGCATTAGGGAGGCAATCCGGTATCACCGGGTGCCGACCTATCTCCGTCGTATAGTCGGGGACTACCTGACGGACAGGGCCGTCATCTACCCCGGTCGCAACGGTGAGTGGAACCGGCGAGAGATGTCGTGCGGTGTCCCACAGGGTTCGGTTCTGGGGCCACCTCTGTGGAACATCGGTTACGACTGGGTGCTGTGCGCCGACCTCCCTACCGACGACACGCTGGTACTGGCACAAGGGGGGTCGTACGAGGCGGCGGCGGAAACTATGACACGCGGGGTTGCGATAGTCGTTGAGAGGATTCGGCAACTGGGTCTCGAGGTGGCTCTGCACAAGTCCGAGGCCATGCACTTCCATGGTCCTCGGAATAGGCCACCACCGGGATCCTCAGTGATGGTAGGAGGGGTATCCATCGGCGTCGAGTCGACGCTGAAGTACCTAGGACTCGTCCTCGACGGCCGATGGAACTTCGTTGAGCACTTCCGACGTTTGGCTCCCAAACTGGAACGGACCGGGGCTGCCTTCAGGCGGCTCCTGCCGAACCTGGGAGGGCCAAACGCCTCCTGCCGGAGGCTCTACGCGGGGATCGTGCGGTCCATGGCCCTTTACGGGGCCCCGGTGTGGGCGCGTGGTTTGGCGCGGCTTGCCGTCCACCACCTGAACGCGCCCCAAATGGTGATTGCCGTGAAAATGGTTCGCGGCTACCGCACGATCTCCCGCGAGGCGGCGAGCCTCCTTGCCGGATTACCGCCATGGGATCTGGAGGCGATAGTCCTCGCGCGCCTGCACGAATGGCGCGCGGAGGCGCTATGCCGTGGGGAAACTCCGCTGCCGCGGCGAGTTGTCGCGAAGCGGACAGACTTCCGGCACGATCTCATGGCGACATGAAGACAGCGACTGTCGCAACCCCGTGCTGGGCACGCCACTATAGCGGCGATAAGACCCCTCTTTGAGGAGTGGCTTGAGAGACGCCACGGCATCCTCACCTTCCGCCTCACGCAGGTCCTCACCGGACACGGTGTGTTCGGGAGGTTCCTGCACCGAATCGGGCGGGAGGAAACGCCCGGGTGTTCCCACTGCGAGGATGGACCGGAGGACACGGTGGAACACACCGTGGAGGTGTGCCCTGCTTGGGCGGAGCACCGCCGTGTCCTCGTAGCGGCGATAGGCGGCGGCGACCTCTCGCGTCCGGCCCTGGTCGTAGCCATGGTCCGGAGCGAGACGGAATGGGATGCCGTCACCACCTTCTGTGAAGCAGTGATGCTAGCGAAGGAGGTGGCGGAGCGGGAGAAGGAGAGAGCAGCAGCTTTCCTCCCCGACCGCCGCGGGAGACGCCCCGGGCGTCGGGGGCTACGTCGTGGCCCCCGGCCACCGTAGGCGCGGGCCTGTGGACGGCGAGCAATGGGTAGCTCGCCGTCCGTCCGTCTAACGACGACAGGCCCTGTCGCCGGCGCGTATTGTTCCACGCGCGCCTCAAAGAGCTGTCAGCAGCGTGAAGGGGCCCGCAAGGGCCGACGCCTGCCGGGGCTGCGGGCTGTTCGAAAGAGATACCGCGGATCCGGAACGTAAGGCCACTGAAGGAACACGGATGGTTTTTAGTCAGTAAAAGTCTGACACTCCCTTACGCTCTACCCAAAGCGAAAGGCGTCATTAGATGATTTTCCATCCGCAAAAAAAAGGACGGGTGCTGTAAAGGTGTAAAGTATTAAAAAAGTTAAAATTAAAAAATATTTTTTTTAAAATTAGGTTCATACCAAATGAAGAATTCACAGTGAAAGTGGGAGGAAGAAGAAGAATGGATGGAAGTAGAAAATTGTTCGCCTTGTTGTGGTGGTGAAAGAGAATCCGCCACCTCATATCGTCGGCAACTACCCAGCTTATTTAACAAGTGGGGGAGGCGTATGTGGACTTTTGATAGGCTGAAATGATGACAATGATGAGTTGTTTTGCCGCATTAAAAGTAAAATGTAGCAGCCTACATCTCGTCATCGCCATTACTGGGCACAGGTCGTAGACAATTTTGGAACAAGTTATGCAGGTTTTCTCGCGATGTTTTCCTCACCTTCGAAAACATAGTAAATCGACACTTCAAATTGCAATTAAAATCCCTTTTAACTACTCAAACATCTAGGTTTTTCCACGAAGTTATTGTTCACCACTTCACCGGACACGTGATAAGTCAGCACGTAAAATTTCCTAAAACAGATTAATTTGTCCTAGACCCGTCGTACACGTTTTGCTCCCGTGCCATGATGAAATCTCACGGCCTGCTCTCGAATATCTTTAAATATTATTCGTGTAAACGGACACAAAACTTTTGTATGATTGGTGACCACATCTACCTAATAAAAAGACATCCAAAGATGCCACGAACTATTCCATCAAATAGAGTTAAAAATCTAACAGTGCACTTAATTTTCAAATATTTACGTCGGACAACTTGATAACAAAATAGGTTGGTGAAATTAAAGCTATGCTGATAGACACCCAATATATTCAACTAAGTAACTTCTCTCATAATCACAGTTTTATGTAGAGTTATACAGTTGTATGTTTAGTCATTTTGCCAAACGTAGTAATTGCAGTAAACTATCGGTCTGAGTAACTTTTTAAACTTTTGATTCTAAAGGAATAAGTATTCAGTAGCTCTTATTATTTAATTTTATCTATGTTAAGTATACGGCACTATTACTAGATGAAAATTATTATCATAGTTTCAAATTATTAAACAAAAGTTAAAACTTATTAGAAACTTTATTTATAAATATGGTATTTATTTGAAAAACACTAGTCATCCTGCATACTTGTAACTAACATCGAATCATATATAATAGAAAATTAACATCTAAAGGAAGGCGAATACTTAAACTTCTTATTTTGAAGTTCCTTAATGGATAATACCTAAACTTCTTATTTTGAAGTTCCGTAATCGGATAAAAACCTTATAAATTGCCCCGGTTTATTAACTATCTACATAGAAAATTTCATGGATATCGGTCCAGTATTTTTTGCGTGAATCTTGAATACACAGACAGACAGACAGACAGAAAGACAGACTGACAAACATTCTAAAAAACCACTAATTTGGCTTCAGTACCTTTTACTTAGTCCCCTGATCTGGTTTTTTCAAGAATATATTAGAATAATTATAGACAGGACTTTTCGACAGGTTTATTATATTTAAAGATATTGAAAACAAATAAAATCACAATGTGCGTTCTTGTTATAGAGTTACAATTATTTTTATCTTTAGAATAAGAATTACATGTGAATGGAGACATTAGATATAAAACAGACGGTCGCTACGAGTTGGGGGTGACCTCGAAGCCATCTTATATAGATTATTTTCTTTAATACATCTTCGTTTTATTTATTTTGGATATGATAATTATTAAAGACATATAACAAATATGCACGCTAACAAATTCATTTCATTCCTTGCACATCCTTGCACTTCTGCGCGTGTTCCTTTACTTTAGTGCACCTATCGCTTTCTTTCCATGATTGGCATTCCTGTAATAATAAATATACGTAAGAAATATAACAAGAACACAAATTTATCATGAACACGGGGCAGTTGAGTCGGTAGCATCAACATCTGCATCCGGCGCAGACTGGCTCGAATCGTCGACGAACGCGTGCTCCGATCGGCTCGACTCACTCGCGCTGCGAAGAGATGTTGCATCCCTTTGTATTTTTTTTCTCATCTACCATGGGGAAGGCTCTGAGGAATTGTTCGGATTAATCCCAGCCGCCAAATTTCACGAACGCACATCGTGGCAAAACTCCCGATACCATCCACACCATCTGGATGACTGACGGTCCACCACTGTGCGATTTAAAAGAAGTTTTCTTCCTTGCACAATTTCTTTGTGGAATTGACTACTACTAGAAATTTTTTCGGACCGATACGACTTCGGGACCTTCAAGAAAAGAGCTTACTCCTTTCCAAAATCCCGGCAACGCACCTGCAATTATCCTGGTGTTGCAGTTGTTCTTAGGCGGCGGTAGTCGCTTAACATCAGGTGAATCGTATGATCATTTGCCCTTTTCTTCTATAAAAAAAAAATTAAACAACTTAAGTACCATGTGGATAGTGCACATTTTTCTGTTCTCTTAGATCTTTTTATTTGTACATGGAGTTTAAATTAACAACAATTTTCAAAACATCTTTAAAGACGATTGTGGCTTGTTTTACTTTTATTTATTTATTACTTTCGCTATTTTTTTTTGGTTGAACGCCTAATAACGGCGATATGTATAACTTGTCTGTTTTTATATTTTTTTAAGGTTTTTAATTTTTAAAATAATTTATTTATAAAGAATATCCTGACATAGAAATATGACGATATTTTTGTTCTAGTGTCATTATTTAGACAGAAAACAGAAGAATACGTTTGTATGAAATAAACGCCGCACTGATCTCTCAGACTCCTTTAGGCCTCTCAATATAGAGAAACAACCGTTTTAAGTGTTTACACTCATAAAGAGAACATAAGGCACTAATACAAGAAACATACTTTACAATACAAACAAGACTTATATTACTTTACTTGCGAACTTACCATAAATGAGTTTATATACATGCAAAAGTACAACCTCGCTTCTAGGCAATTATCTTTGTTAATGTATTCCAGATATTTTCCGTTCAAACACCCCGTTCTCGCTCTTAGCGTCATTGCTTTTTCTTTGGGGTAATCTTTCTCCCACTGGTCAAAAAATTCCTTTAACTTGCCCTCGTCGATTTCGTCATCAGTTAGTACATTTTGCTCTGCTACAACACACTTGTAGAAGTCGCACTAAAATATTTAAAGTATTAACAACAACTTAAAAGTTTTAATTTGTTTGTTGGAGTTTTAGATATAGCAATATAACTCATTGATTGCTTACGAAGAGAAGTATAACCATTGCGAGGGGCATAATGGGCAAGGACAGGTTATTTCACACTCTCACCGACTTAAACCCCATGGTGAATGCTTTCGGACATATCCGAAGTTCCACCAACGCCGGCTGTCCGATGCTAGCCCCTTCTACGAAAAGTACGTTTTCTTCTCCATTTCAGTTAAGATCCGCCAGAACATTAGGCGCCATCATCTGCGACCTTCAATTTCATCTGTACAATGGGCCACCGAGTATGAGGAGGCCTTGGAGCCAGGAAACCACCATGATGGAAATACCCGTTTATTGACACCAGCGGCGAATCTGATGGATTCATCGCCTAACAAGTTTTGCTCGCAGAAGATGGGTAGAACGTTGCCTCGCAATAACGATACCCTTCTCTCCTGGTGAGCCCACCTTCATCTTATCAGCGGTGCGCGGACTTTCTTGCCGTATCAACAGTCCTCGTCCCTTGCGACTCCACCTCGGTAGCGGCGGAATGGCAGAGAGCGCATCCCTCACAGTCAACCAACGCGAATCCAAAGATGGCTCGGCAAGCCCACTCGGAGCAGCCTACTTGATATTGACTTGAAGTTTTCCTTAAAACAACTTTGTTCACCGCCGAGGACGTAATAAATGAATGGCGGGGATCGAACTTTGTTTGTTCGCTTGCTACTACTGAGACCTAGAAAGACTGGTACGTTTAGACAGGCTTACGCAGAATTCCTTGATTTTCTTACGCAGACTTGTGGTACTTGTTTTTTTTTTATAGCATTGGGTGACAATCGAGCACACAGTCCACCTGATACTAAGTGGATGCTATGGTCCATAGACATCCACATTTATCCTCAATTAAGAATCAAAATGCAAATGCGTAATCACCCCTGAGGACTAAGATGGAATGCCTCGATTCCAGTAAAAAGGGTCTCCGGTTCACTACACTCACCGTACGAAACACAGCAGCTATATGCTGCTATTTTACGCTGGTATTCTGTGAGAGCATGGTCCTGCCCCGGTTGAGCAGACCCATCCGTGCTACAACTATAATATAGCTGTAGCGTGGCTCTATCACATATAAATTGCCTCTTAATTGATTGTTTACTATTTACTTAACAACTTACTCGGCTATTTATATGATATGCAAGCAAAAAAGCTTTAAGCGAGTTTAACATACCCGGATATAAATTACGTGGTACTATATAGTACATTAGCACATTTAGCATAATCTAATTTTCTATGGGACCATTTCTTATACCGTGATTTTTGAAATTAAAGATTTAAGATTTACAACATGTTCTTAAGATCTTAAGGATCGGTTCGACCGGGGAGGGACCACGAGCTCACAGAATACAATAGCAGCTTTATGTCTGTGTTTCGTATGATGAGTGTAGAGGACCGGATATACTTTTTACTGGAAGTAAGGCATTCTATCTTATTCCCCAGGAGTGACAACGAATCCGCATTTTATTTCACACCGGGGCCACAGCAGCTACTTACAATCAGGTGGACTGTGTGCTTGTTTGTCACCCTTATTTTATAAAAAATTCGACAAATATTATGAGTGCGATTTTTTCATAGACCCTTTTTAAAATGCATATCTATACAAATTTGTATAGAATTTTAAAGAGAAATTTTAGAAAGAAGAAAATTAGTCAATCTATTGAACAGAAATTTATTGAAGTTAGGTTTGATCAATACGTACCATCTTGTCTTCGTCTTCGGGAATTTTACATTTACTTTGGTCTTCAGGGAACCGCTCACTAATGCAGCATGTTTGGTCGAGTAGCTGAAAATATATTTATTTTGATGGCAACAATGGCAAAATTACTCTATGAGGCAATCTACAAGGCAGACCAATGTGCAGTGGACTCTTATAGGCTGAAATGGATACATACTTTGGCATATTTATTAATGTACGTTTATGTATATGTACGTTATAGTATGGGACACGTTTCAAGTTATTTTAAAAATTTGCGCAATTTCACATAAAATTTGATGTCAATTTAAAAAAATGCTTAAAGTTGCTTCTTCTTTCTTCACTGAATAACAATAGAAACAGAAAATAAATAATACAAAAATTACCATTATTGATATGTTACCTAATAATTATTATTTAAAAGATCTGTCTAGTGATCAACTTGATACGAAATTCTAAATCAAATTATGTACATCCTATGACGATAGATATAACGAAATAGCGGGTTTCTTGTTCGTCAATGCCACTAAAGTTAAGGCCGGCCACATACATTTGGGATTCCGTTTCGAAAAGCCGTTTCGGAATATCTATTCGAGATTCCGTAAATACACCACATATACATTCCTTTATTTCCCTTCGGAATAACAAGGCTCTGTTAAAAGACGCTAGGCATTTAGTTTCAATACCAACCGATATTTAAATGGTGAATCTCATCATCATCCTTCACAGTTAGCTACCGTGGGTAAATCTTTGTTTCAGAGAGCACAAGGGATCTGTGACCGAAAACATCTGGCCGCCAAGCTTCAGCACGTCAAGCAAGTATTGCAAGACAACAAGCTTCGGGTCCCGCGCCTAAATCACAGTGACCGAGTGAAACCGGTCACAGTCGAGCGTGTGCCTGATGTACTACCGTATGCCAGAGGAGTCACAGGCAAGGTTGGCTACATCTTGAATCGAGCTTCAATTAAAACATACTACAAGCCGCCGAAGAAGATTAATCAATTCTTACCATCCATAAAATGCAATATTCCTCTACTACAAGATAAAGGAGTGTACAAGCTAGATTGCGAATGTGGTCTCTGTCTCTCTTACATAGGTCAAACAAAAAGATCTATAAAAATCCGCGTGAAAGAACATATAGCTGACGTGAAGCACCGAAGTTCCGGGAAGTCTGCAGTCTATGAACATGTTCAAGATCGTTCCCACCATTACATCAGATATGATAAACCACAAATTCTCGTAAAAGATCACCGATTCCTACCAAGAATGATACGCGTGGTTATTGAAATTAAAAAACATCCTAATTTCAATAGAGAAGATGGGTGGTTGCTGCCATCTGCTTGGGATCCTAATTCAAAAACTGAAGGTAGCCGGGCTAACTATGACATTGGAACGTCAAACGTCTCAGTCTCCTCCATGACCATGGGTGCTGTAAAGCACCCGAAACCTCTGGAATTAAAAATCAGTTAAAATAGTTAATTAGACGCGATAAAATCCGTAAATATTGTTTTATTCAATTTTTAGTGTTCGCGTAAATTAATAAAGAAATCAATTCTGAAGTTATTCCCCAAAATTGCATGAATTAATATTTATTTTTTAATTTAAATTTATCAAGCTTTTATGACACTACACGTTGACTTAAAAGTTTTTTTCGAACTTTTTCGAAGAAAATATTATTGGCCAATCGTCGAATCACCATTAGAGAAGTTGCTAATGACCTAAATTGAGCGATTGGCTCAAGCCATCCGATTGTAAGTAACGATTTGGGCATGAGTCGGGTCGCCGCGAAATTCGTGCCAAAATTATTCAATTTCGACCAAAAACAGCATCGCGTTAACATTGCTCAGGAGATGTTGGACTCGTTCCGTGACGACCCAAATGTGCTCCAGAGGGTCAAAACTGGTGACGAATCACGGTTTTATGGTTATGACGTGAAAACCAAAGCTCAATCATCCCAATTGAAGCTGCCGCATTAGCAAATACCGAAAAATGCGCGTCAAGTTCGGTCAAACGTGAATGTTTTGCTCACAGTTTTCTTCGATTGCAGGGGCGTGGTACATTATGAGTTCTTGCCACAGAGTAGTACGGTCAATAAGAAATATTACTTGCAAGTTATGCGCAATTTGCGCGAAGCAATCCGCCAGAAACGCCCGGATTTGTGGAAGAACAAAAAACTGGATTTTGCACCGCGATGACGCTCCTGCTCACACACCGTTGCTTCTGCGCGAATATTTATCCAATAACAACACAGTCATGGTCCCACAGCCACCGTATTCTCCAGACCTCGCCCCCTGTGACTTTTTCCTGTTCCCAAAACTGAAGAGGCCCATGAAAGGACGACGCCACGCCACGATTGAGGAGATAAAGACGGCATCGAAGGAAGAACTGAAGATCACGATAAATGATTTTTTTAAGTGCTTTGAGAATTGGAAAAAACGTTGGCACAAGCACCGAGGGGGATTAATTTGAAGGAGACAAAATATCTATTCATAAATAAATACTTAAATACTTTTTCGAAAAATACAAAATTCGCGATACTTTTTGAACAGACTGTGTATAATTTCAAGAGAATATTAATTTACAAAAAATTATATGCACCTTGTCCTTTTTTAATAATTTATAATTTATTTCTAGAAGTATTTTGTTCGTTATTATAGTAATAACATGTAAATCCACCATTATATGATAGTACCCGGTTGACCGAGCTTTGCTCGGTATTTTTCGCTCGGTTTTTTTAATTCGTGCGTTTTGGAAATTATATTTAGATACAAATTACATACTGATGAAATACGAATAATATTTTTTCATCTTAGCGACATAATAGAAAAAACTGAACTGGTTATTTGAATAAAAAATCATGAGTGCAATTTGTTTAATTTATATTTTCTTGTTTTTAAAAAATACTAAAAAAAGGGCACGAAAAAAATAGATTTTCTCAAAAAAGAAAGGAACTTGAACAAAAATTAAAAAAAGTCGGTCGGTCGGTCTGGGATCGAACCATGATATTACGATTTCGTGACCGACCAATTTACCAATTAAGATGTTTGTAATCACTAATAAACTATCAAAATTTACCTTCTTATTCTAACGATATTGTAGCAGTTTTTCATTGCCAAAAAACACAAAAAAGAAATTTTCTAAAAATCTCTATTCTAATCCTCGCTAGATCGATTTATTGCCCCCGAAACTCCCTGCACACAAAATTTTATGAAAATCGTTGGAGCCGTTTCCGAGATTCCGATTATATATATATATAATTCTTGTGTGTATATATATATATATATATATATATATATATATATATATATATATATATATATATACAAGAATTGTTCGTTTAAAGGTATAGGTATTACTGATGACATTTAAAACATACCATATCATTAAATAACGTATCGCATGCTCCGTTTTCTTCGGACATATCTGCCAATACCTGAAATAAACCTAACATTTTATTAAAACCTCATGACGACGAAAAATAAAAGTAAAATTGATTAAATTGATTGAATAAAAATTTTGACAAAGGCTGATGTATACTTTATAGCCAATTTCAGCAACGGCAAAGATGTTTAAAACTTTGCCGTAAATTGTGCTAAAGTTGGAATAGTAAATGACTTACAATTGTGTTACTAGATGTAACGAAGAGCCCAACGATCAAGTACGTGACCACCATTTTACAAAAGCACCAAACCAAATCAAACAGCATATTTATATAGGTTTGAGCAAAACAATTTTCTGCACTATTCCATTTATAATGATTGTACTCGTATACCGTGAAGCGTTCGCTTCACCAATTATCTTCACAGCTGATCATGACCTTCAGAGTTCAGTAGAGAAAAATAATGACCTCAATTTCGTGCAATCCTTTGCTTGCACTTCCTCGTGGCACAGACGACTATTCTCGGTATAACAATCAACAAAGTACATGTACCTAAAGTATATGTATCCTAATATACAATAACTTTTACTTTTGGAACATATTTTTATAAACTATGGCACGATTTTTGAAAATTTTTATGATGTTGGGGCAGCGTTTAATCCACACAAACGTATTCTTTTGTTTTCTCCCTAAATTAGGAAAAAAAACTATCATCAAGAATTATTTTTTACGATTAGGTCAAAAGGGACATAGTTTCTTCGTATTTTGCTTGTATAATTAAAGAAAAATCTCTTTGATTATACTGTTTGTATCTGGCTGGTTCTAATATTAATACACATTAAGAACAACAAAAATAAAAGTAAATACACTTTTCCGCCATTTTTCAATTGTTTTTCTGTCCGCCAAAATGAGTGAATCAATTGAAGAAACTCGATACATTCTGAATTTTATTACAAAAAAGGGAATAATGCGGCTCAACCCGCGAAAAATGTTTGTGATATTTATAGCCTCATCTATCAGTAAAAGTAGCACAAAGTTGGTTCAAGCGTTTTCAGTCCTGGAATTTAAATGTCAAAAATGCAGCTCTTTCGGGTCACCCTCATACGGATAAAGCCGATAGTATTTTTAAAAAAGTGGAGCAAGCTCATGAAAGAAGTCCCTTAGCCGCGGCACCACAGTTTTTGCGAAGTTTGACATCTGGTGTCAAATTACATACATTAAATTTTAGTTCGCATATTTTCCATGGGACTTCTTTTATGAAATAAACTCTATGACATAGCCGAGGAATCGAGGATTGACCACAAAACAGTTTTGAATCATTTGAAAAAGTCTGGCTATACAAAAAAGCACGATATTTGGGTACCATACGAGCTTAATGAAAGAAACATAATTAACCGTGTACTCATTTGCGATTCTCTATTGAAACGTAATGAAATCGAAACATTTTTGAAAAGATTGAACTCTGGTAATGAAAAGTGGATCACCTATTACAAAAACGTACGGAAAGATCATGGTCAAAGGTTGGTCAATCTCCACAGACTATAGCGGAATCCGGATTAAGACGCAATAAGGTGATGCTGTGTGTATAGTCGAGTTAGAAGGGCATCGTTTATTATGAGCTTTTACCGCTGGGCAAAACCATCGATTTGGATCTCTACGGCCAACAACTAATGAGACCCAAGCAAGAAATTAAGAAAAAACGGCCGGAATTGGTCAACAGGAAAGGAACGGGCTTTCATCATGATAATGACAGAACCACACACATCTTTGGCCACTCAGCAAAAATTAAGAGAGCTTGGTTGGGAAGTGTATGTATGCATCCACCACATAGCCCTGATCTTGCACTCTCGGAGTTTCTCCTGTTTCAGTCGCTTCAGAATTCTTTGGGCAGTGTTAGGTTCAAGTTCAACATCAAGAAAGGATTGTCCAAACTACTTGTCGCATTTTTTGACCAAAATCCCAAGATTTCTACAGCAACGAGATTGTCACTGCCTACAAGATGGCAACAAGTTATCGAACAAAATGGCACATGTGTTTTAAAAGGTTATTAAAATTATTATAAAAGTATTTAAAAATGTAATTAAGCTTTGAAAAACAATTTGTTGCATTTGTATGTAAAGTACGAATAAACTTTTATACCGAACTTATATAAAAAATCATATTTTTGTTCGTATTTTATGCGCTGCCATACTGTATCGCTGTTGTAGAATCCGTGCGAAGCTAGGGCAGATAGCTAATATGTAATAAAATGTGATGCCATCAGTGTTTTATAGTCAAATATTATCTTATTCGTATTATATTAATTAAGTATACTAAAAATATAATTTTATTTTAAATGGAAAATCGAAAATGTGAACATGATATTTCTTACTACAGCTGTATGTTTCTAAGATATATTCGTTAACAGTGGTGTAAACTATACAATTATGTACATTGATAATTTTTTTATTAAGTGGTCAGACCAATACGAGTAAAAAAAGATAAAGCGCTGCGCTGCGTACATGCTCAACTTGACGCACGCGCACACCTTTCTTCTTTCTTTCTTTATCAGCCTGTAAAAGTTGACAGTTGTACGCACACATGCGTACAATGTTGTTGGTTGCATATCATAAGATGCATCATATGAGTACGTGAGTCTTACAATAAGTTGGCCATGGTTTTAGCTTCGTTTCTACCTCGTTTAAACCTACGCAGCGCTCTGTCATTCTTTCTTAGTTAGTTTGAGTAACAATTTTTTAATCAATTAAGACTTTTACTGTTCGGTTTTCAGACACAATAGTAAGACTATACACAGTCAGACAATAACTTATATGTAGTGCACGGGACAGTGAAAAGGTTAAATTATAACTTAACTGAATAAAAAAGTGCAACAATAGAACTGTTTTATTCATGAAACTATATTATTATATGTATTTCCTGTGTTATATTCACGACGGTTTCATGGCTTCTATTATCAGATATTAAACAAATCTATATGGAACCACATATACCCGAAGTACACATGGTAATATTGAATTGTCGCTTAACATACATGAAAAAATATTCCTATGTAGTTATAACTTTTATTTGATGATAGGACAATCAGCTTTAGTGATAATCAGTAATCTACGCAATAAAAAGCTCCGTATTATTTCCTCCCAATGGTATTCGATAAATCGCTGCATAGTTATATCTTTACAGAATTGAACATACATACTTATACTTAATTAAATTGATTAAAACTACTTTTACGGATTTTATCGCGTTTTATTTATTTTTAATACCCGACATTTCGGGTGCTTTCCAGCACCCATGGCCACGGGGGACTGAGGTGACTGACGTCCCGATGTCAAAGTTAACCCGGAGTACCTTCAGCTTTTTAATTATTGTCTTTGGTCCGATCTACGCAGAATGAACTAACTGTGTTTTGAAGTCTTGCAGTGGTATGCTTGAGTTTAGTTTTAATTTTATTAATTATAGGATCCCAAGCAGGTGGTAGTACCCAGCCTCCTTATCTATTGAAATTAGGATGTTTTTTAATTTCAATAGCCTCACGTATCATCCTTGGTAGGAATCGATGTTCTTTCGCGAGGATTTGTGGTCTATCAAAGCTGATGCAATGGTTGGGGCCATCTAGGATATGATCGCAAACTGCAGACTTCCCGGAACGTTAACGAACGTTAACGAAAGAACGTCCCAAAAGCCTAAGCGATACTAACGGGGCGACAGGAATCAAGCTTCAAGACGCCGATAGTTTAGGTAATTACTTTTTACAGTGAAAATAATGGTATTTTAAAAAAAGTAAATAACATAAGCACTGCTTTATAGTTAGTTCAGTTAGTATGCAAAGTTTCATAGTCTTATTTAAAGTATTTTATGAATAACAGCGGTTTATTGTTCAGTTTGGAGGTAACTTTGGATTTTTTTTCTATCGAAAAAATTTTACGGAATCATATTTTCGTCTAACATAGTCCTTAACATTAATCCTCAACTTTAACATATATTTATTTCAAAATTAATGCTGCAATACTTTTGGCATAACGAAGGATCTTGCTAAGCCATTTGAGGTTATATTTCCCCTTAAAAATAAATAAAACGCGATAAAATCCGTAAAAGTAGTTTTAATCAATAGTGTTCGCGTAAATATAAGAAATCATTACTTAATTAAATTTTAAAAACATTTTAGGCTATTCTTGAAATAATTAATGCTTTTTTGATGTTTGCTGCTGTCTCCAGAATTCTTCTCTGTTTTCCAAGAATCTTATAGCTTCTTCGGCCTGTTTCATTACAACGTCGTTCTTTTTATCTGCAATCGCAAGATCTGGGTTCTTTAGAAGGTTCTCGAGGTAAATCTTATCCGACATCAGTTGTCCCAATACTGGCCGCGACGATTTAGGGCTCGTGCGTTTCTTTGCCTTTTTGACAGTCTTCACTGCGCCTATGGTGTTTTCAATTGCCTCCTGGAGATAAACAATGTATTAATATTGTATTATTTTATTATAATCACCAATATAAACTTAAGTTAAAGCGTTTCAAATATTAATTCCCAACGTATAATCGCGAATCTGGCAAACGGTACTAACCTGTGCCTTTTGAACTCCCAGTCTAAAGTCGCTCAAGTCGGGTCTTGATCTCAGACCACGATGGTAATGCACAAGGCTCATCTCAAACTCGCCGCAGTAGTACAGTGCCTCGGCCTTCTGCAGTAAAGCCTTCGCGTGTTTTGGGTCCAGCTTTAGAGCCGTCTCCGCATCAGCTAAGGCTAACTGCGGCTCCCCCAGGAGCAAGTAGCACCTGCTGCGTGCTACATAAGCTGCTTTTTCTTCTGGAGCGAGCTCTATCGCCTATAATAATGAGAAGAATTTTGTTTCAGAAGGATCGCTTCTTATATTCTTCTTATTTTATAGAGCTGATGAGCCACATGTTATTACTGCAGGCTGATGTGTCGGCTCGGCCGGGAAAGATTGAAAAGTGAAAACCATCGTAAAATGGCAGAAAAATGCTGTTGTGTTTCGTATGGTTAGTGACAAGAACCAAGGATCCTTTTACTGGCAAGGCACTCCATCTTAGTCGCCAAGGGTGACAGACTTGTAGGTGTTTATAGGTTAAAGAATCCTTTTGTCATCAGTTGGATGGACTGCTTACTCGTTTGTCTCCCGTACTTTTATAAGAAAATATCAATTGTATTTATGTAATGCTAGTATACAGAACTTAGAAAGAAAACGTAAATATAATAACATAAAAACCACGAAAATAAAAGCATCTATTGGCAAAACCTAGAGAAATTATTCTTCATACAAAATAGAACTAAAGTA